TTACATTGAAACAGTAATGATTTTACATCTGAATCATCAGAATGGTTGACATTAAAATCTCGATGCAAACTAGATGTTGAATCAATGTTGCAAAACCAATGAATCCTGACAGAAACAGCATGATATTGTAATAGTTTCTTTCAATTGAAAAATAAATGAAAATGCATTGATCTGTCATTGTGTTAAATTTCTATATTGTTTTAAGATTTAGGTTAATTGAAATACAATTGTAAAGGCATTGGTCTACAGTTAACAAATATAAGTTGTTTCAATATTAAATTTAGGTGCATTATGAAGTTGATTTAATGTTTTAATGTAGACAATGCAATGTGGATTCTACATTGTTGCAGTGTAAGCGTGCTATCTGAGGAGGAGCTTGGGTGAAATGTAAATAGTGAAAGTTTACCTATTTTTATCGTAGAACAGGTGAAATAGTTATTTTTGAGTGTCTTTAAAAATTTGAAACTATGCACCCCAGCTTTAACCACTTTTCCTCAGTATAGGACCGGAGGTGGCTGGCGCCTACTAGGGATGGAGAAATTCGCCGATCTGAACCGGTGGTTGGTTCATTGCGTTAGCGATGCGACTGCACCAGTAGCTTCAGGTTGCATCGGTAATAACTGATGGCTATATCCCAATGTATCTTTCCATGCATGTCTCTCGTCGGTAAAAACAATGATTATATTGATTACTTCATAGTTTACCTGCTCTGTCTTTGTTTTTGAGGCACATTTAATGCATCATCGATCTCTTCGCAGAATTCTAAATCACATGCATTTGTTTTCATGTTGAATTTATTGATTATTCGAAAAAAAAATAGAGGATCTAATACATCCTTACCGAAGAGGGAAAAACATTGTGATGTTTAAAAACCCAGATGTGGACTTCAAAATTCTTTTTAAGGTGCTGAATCGTTTCAAATCTTATTATCAATTGTATCCAATTGAAAATCCTTAATAAATCATGAGCAGGGATGAACCTTATGGAATCTAATTGGCAGATTGTTTCACTGTAACGTATCGTATTGCTGGGAGTGTATCGAGATACGAATCAAATCGGCCTCACTGTTGGAGATTCACATCCCTAGTGCCTTTACTCAAGCTGTCATTGGGTGAAAGGCAGGGGACACCCTCAGGCCTCAGGAACAGATCTCTTGTTTAGGGTTGCCAATCAACCCAACATGTGTTTTTAGTTGATGGGTACCAACTGCACCACCATGCAACCTATTTAATATGATTTACTTTTGTTCTGAGTGACTTTTGCTGTCTTTATGTCCAGCATTCACGTTACTTCAGACCTCTAAATCAGACGCCTATAAGCACAGAAGGCCCATTTCTATTGTGGTGAAATGTGAACGGAAACAAACTATTGGTCCATAAATACATTTTTTATTTATTTTCCTATAATTACTTTCAGGATAATTTATTCTTCATGGCTTTGTTCCAAACAAATATATCATTTATCATTTCTTAGATCTTTTTAGTGTTGTGCAATTGAAAGTTAGTTTTGAATCTTTGCCTTTTCTGATGTTTGCTCTTTTAACAAGACAAACTGTAGATCTTTTTGTTTATAGCTTTTCATCTTGCTGTTTTTCTTAGTTATTGTCATGGTCTGTGTCTGCATCTTTCCCCATGTGTCTCCTGATGTCCTACATCCCACTTTAGATTCCTCTTTTGTGTGTCTTAGCGCCCTCATGTGTCCTTTGTCTGCGTCTTATTTATGTGCCTTCTGTTTGTAGCCTTTCAGGTCATCCCCAGCCCCTCCAGTTGTAGCTCCAGCCTCTTTGTCCCCAGCTCGGTGTGTGTGCCATTCCCCAGCTTAGTGTGTGTGTGTGTGTGTGTGTGTGTGTGTGTGTGTGTGTGTGTGTGTGTGTGTGTGTGTGTGTGTGTGTGTGTGTGTGTGTGTGTGTGTGTGTGTGTGTGTGTTGGTCCTTCTCCAGCTGTGTGTGTGTGTGTGTGTGTGTTCTTCTTCAGTCAGGTCCAGTGTACTCCCCTGCTCCTTCCTGCTCCTCCTCCCTGATTAGTTATTGCCTTCACCTGGTTCTCTCCCCACACACCTGCAGCTCATCTGCCTCCCATTATGCCCCAGTCTATAAAGCCCTGTCTGTTTCTCATTGTCTTGTCGGTAGAATTTATTTATTTATTTATTTATTTATTTATTATTTTATTTTATTTTTTACGCTCTTACTCCGACTCACACTCCAGCACAGTAGGGGGCGTAAATGCACCTAGCAGTTAGATGCCACCCACCAATAAACACGAAGAAGAAGAAGATTGTCTTGTCGGTTCATTGTTGTTTGTCAGCGTGATTTATTCTGTCAATCTGCCCGTTCCTCTGGTGTTTTTGGATCTCCTGATCATTTCCTGATTTTGGGATTTTGGCTCCCTGCCTTTTGGATTCATTTTTATTTTTGGACTCATCCTACAATAAAAGGATTTTCTTTATATCAACTCCTGCCTCGTGTCATCCTGTGTATCTGCATTTTGGGTTCAAACGGTCCTCTCAACGTGACAGTTATTAGCTGAAGGGGTTTAGGACTTCCTCTGCTTGCAGGATGCAGCTGCGTTTGGTGATGCTGAGCAGGACTACTGTGCATGTGTGTTGCTCTGGTAATTACAGTAAATTACTGGAGGAAAAGGTTTCTTGAAATAGCTTTTTTTCTTATCAGTCTGTTCTTACACCTGCTGTATGTTTTTCATTACAGGTTTTGCTCCTTAGTCACTACTGAGTTTGTGCTGAGGAAATAAAGTATTATCATTAACTCTCAGTTCCCTGTTTGTGCATAATAAACATTTAATATCACCTCTGGTGCAAAACTAAAGTCTCTAATAGAGTTTAATTTGCTATCCCTCAGTTTAATGCCAATGTGTAGGGTAACCCTTTTCTAAACAAAGCCAGATTAATTACCCATGTTGCTGTCTCATATGGAGGATCTTCACCACAACCAGCTCTCTTTGTCCACATTAAAAACACTTTGTCATATGTTAATTTTTGTACTGTTTTCCTGCTGATGTGTTCTTCCTCCTGTTTGTTTCCTTTATTCTCTCATGCACAGCTTGTAAGTGAGTAAAGAGACCCCTCTTCTGATATCCATTTATTTTCTGTAAAAAAGGATTTATTTATCTTCCTGTCCTTGTGGAGACACTGTTGGTGCTGAAATTTAACAACCATTATTACTGTTTGTTTAAGGCCCCAAATACTCAAGTTTGCTTTGGGCGACCCTGTCTTTTTCTTTCTCTGTCTTTAGTAATATTCTCCTTTTTCCTTCATCCTCCTTTCCTCCAATTGTGCTTCCCTTGGCACTGTTTCACTGCATTCACTGCTGTTGGTCCCAGGAGCTCCCACAGACCAAAACTACTTATCCTCTGGCGCTTTTCTAATTGATCCACAGCAGCTAGTGCTGTCATCATATTTTCAATAATTCATCCCTTTTCCACAAGAATGGAAGTGATTAAATGTACTTAGTCAAAATATGGTACAGGTTCATATTTTATTTGGAGACAAGGTGCACTTTATCTGGAAACGCAGCGATGCATTCATCCATTCAGCGCGTTGACTTTTAGACAGAACAAGTACATGTTCATTTGAATTAGCTAAAAGGAAAAACATTTCAAGTAATTTTCAAAAATACACAATCTTAAAACTTCATAATTTTGGTTACTTTAAAAGCAAACTCTGAAAAATACAGTTTAGTGACGTATTTGAAAGGTAACAATTGTTAAATACTGCATTTCTGATTGTATTCCAAAACGTCAAACGTTCAGACCTGTTGTTAAATTCCTATAATTCTTCTTTTTTTTTCATTAATTTATTTTTTTGCAGTTTTCTTCTAATTGTCACAGTGTTAAAATATTCTTCTAATGTTAAAATTTTCATCTTGTTACTGAGCACTTTCATTAGTCATTTTGTTTTCTATTAGCAGAATTCATATTGAACCCATGAAACCCCATATCATCATTCTCCCCCCTCTGTGCTTCGATAAACACGTAATAAATAACAAACATCTGAACAAACAGATGTGTGCAAATCAAACCTTCTAACTTGTTAACAGTTTTTCCACAACCTTCAGAAAAAAGTACTTTTCCATTTAGTTTTTCTATTAGATTATCTCAGTTGTTGACATTAATGTTGTGCAGTGTCCTTCACACCGCTGGAGCTCTCGCCATGAAATCTGATTTCTGCTGAGTTTGAGACACAAGTCTCATTTTTCAAAGACAGAATCTGAAAGTGATGCTTTTGTTCATGCAATCATTTTATTGTAATGACCTCCTCCGCTTTGATAAATGACATTAAAGCTCCTTAAACACAGTCTGACCGCAGCTTTGAACAGCTTTTCATGTCTTCACTGTCTGTCTTTTATTCTTAAACACTTTAAAAATATTTAAAATGTAATTTTCTCATATGGATAAAGAATGGACAGCTAGAGCTAAAGACGATCTGAAGTTTACAATTCTTTTTTTAATAACTTTTTAGTTTCCCCTCCAGAGAAATTGTTTGTATTTTTATGAAATTATATTTAATCTGTTTAGAAATCATTTAGATGTAATGCAGTTACTGAGATCTCATGTGGTTTTCAGTAATTTCATTTAATTTCTTAGCGATATTGCACAAGTATTTGTCCTCACCTCTGTTTACTGTAACTGGAGGAGAATTTTATGGCCTGAAAACATTTGGTTATTACTCACCATTAACGCTATACTTGGCTTCCCTCCCTGTAAAGCTATTGTTGTGAAACATGTTATGGTTGAGAGCGATTCTCTATCAGGAAGACAGTTGTTACAGCCATTAAAATCACCCTCCACTTAATGTAATGAAGCCAATTAACCAGAGCTACCTTGGCTGGAACGCTTGCTCCCACCCACCGAGAGCTCAGAGAAAAGAAGTCATTTAGTTTGGCCGTTGGTGAACTCCCACATGCCTGACGCAGGAAACATTTATACCATTAAGGTTGCAGCAGTTAACTGATGACCTTCTCTCTGTGTGATTGTATCTCTACGCAGGAATGCTGTTCCAGGAGAGTTTTATCAAGGAGCCGGATGGTCTGGTGTCGGTAAACCTGCTGGTGGTGTCTGCGGTTTCGGCCTTCTCCACGGGAGCCATCCTCTCTGGTCTCACTGTCTGCTGGATCATGAGTCATCGGCACCGTCACTCCCGAGGGTCTGGAGCCAACGGCAGCCGACGCAAAAACGACAAAGAGCAAAATATGCTGGGGCAGGGTCGTAGCGGGTCAGTTATGAGCGTGACAAGAACCAGCGGTGGCGAGAGACGCCGATCACAGGCTGATAACCTGTTTGTGATGCCCAACGGATGGCCTAAAGGAGAGATGGACCCAGGCTTACTGCCAACTCCTGAACAGACCCCTCTGCAGCAAAAACGAGTGATGCGACTCCCAGATGCCGACTGGGACCAGAGCCAGACCTTCCTCACCTCTGTAGGGACTCCCTGCCCCAACAATGCCGTCATCTACTTGAGCTCTAAGTTTCTGCATGGAGGAGGAGGTGGAGGTATAGTCCGAATAGAGGACCCAGGGGAAGTGGTGCTTCCCCCTCACACAGATCGCCAGCGTTACCTGATTCTTGCCGCCCAAAGGGGGGAGCATGGTGGCAACCGTCCCACCGGCAGCTTGAGGAACTCTGCTGGGGAGTACATCTACCCCGCCACACCACAGGATTCGCCGGATCGTCGCAGGGTGGTTTCTGCTCCCACTCCACACATGGACTACGGGGAGCCTCGCTGGAGTCACGAGGCGCTCAACTACAACAGCAACAATGGCATTCCCTATCACTCTCAGCGCCAAGGCCTCATCAGGCCCGACATGCACGGGCCGCGGGGGCTGGGGGGGCTGGCTGAGTTTAGCCACCTTCTGGGGAAGAACATGGGAGAGCACACCCCCAGTGGCCAGTGAAATGATGTAGGTGAGCTCTCTCTCTGAAAACTCATTCCCACCAACAGAAAACTCTGCAGACTCACTGTCCTGGTCCACATGTCCACACCTTCTGTCCTCTCTCACTGTCATTTAACGTTCTGACGTCATTCAGTTTATTGAAGAGAGAGACGAAAAGGGGAAAAAATACATTGAAAAGAGAAAATTGTCCAAAATGAGGCGTTTCTGTTCATAATCTGCAGAGTGTCCCCTACTGTCCTTTCAGTGGTGCCTCTCACAGCTCACCACAGGACAAGAAACGAGTTCAGGAGAGGGGTTGCAACAAAAGACCAAATCTTCTAAAGACAGTTTGAAGATTTTTCGGAATAAAAAGACACCTTTGCTTGCAGCGCCAAATGTGAAAAAGCCTCACTCCACTTGTTTTGACATGATGGATCTCCTGTGGGAGTGAAATTCTGTTTGCCGTTTTCTTTTCAGACAACAATGTGCTTTATCTTGGATTTCAAATGAGACAAAACTGTTGTAGCTGCGCCAGAAGGCAATGACTCTCTAAAAAACAAAAAAATGGATTAAAAAAAATCATGCAGTATGTAAGTGTGTGGCCACAACAACCCCAACCAGCGTCCTGTGTTAACTGTGAAGTATGGCTATGTAATGAAGTTGGTGAAAACATTGTTCATAGAGATTTTATTGTGTCTACTTGAAACTTTTGTGTGTTTACCAATCAAAAGTGTGAAAGGTCGACCAGTTAGGGCTCAGGCTTAATTTGTATAAAGCCGCAATGAAGTACAAGAAAGCAATAATTAGCAAAAATCAAATGACAATGAAGAAAAAGCCAATTTAATTTAATATTTTTGTAAAACTAATCTTTACAGCAACGGCGACTGAAGCTTATGGACGATAGGTAGACAGGTTTTTAGGAAAAGGACGGCATGTCCCTCACTGCCTCTCTGTATGCCTGGGTCTGACTGACCTGACCCTGAGGCCTCCCTGGGCTCAGCAGCGCTTTAGAAAACGGGAACGTGACCTCTGGCTGTCTGGCGATCCGACCGTGGCTGTGAGGCTCAGCCACTTGGGAGCTCCATTCAGTCTCCTCTGCCCGACACTGAACCTCTTTGTGCCCCAGACGCAGGAAGAAACTGCAGCAACAAATAACTGTTAGAAGTCAGGGACCTAAGCCGCCAACACAACCTCGCTGAATACCAATAAGGAGAAGCGAAACTCTATCCCGTTATGTCAATCAGCCAATCAGGCTCGCCCATGTCTCCTGTGAACCGATCAGGGTGATGAATCACTCGTGGACAGGTACAGCAAACATCTGGTGTCCGAAGCTCAGGTGTGGGTTAGTGTTGGTGCAAAACTAAGATCACAATGCTCATCCCTGGTGGCTTCAACCTCTTCTTTGAGTGTATTCCCCAACAAAACTAGATAAAGACAACAGATGGTCATGGGTATACATGGGTGTGGAGTTTTTCTTTCACCACACTGTCTGATCTCGTTTTCTGTTTGTCTGCTCTCATCCGTTCTTGATTCAAACGTAGATATGGTCAGCTTTAATTCAACTGGGTCACCGTGTCATAAAGGTGGTGTGTGTGTGTGTGCGTGCGTGCGTGCGAGAGGGAGAGAGTCTCTTAGGACTTGTATACATCGATGTGTTACTCACACTGAGAGCAAAAGAACCCCAGCTTTGATCCATTCTAATCTCATTCTCACTTTTCCTTCTTTTCAACCCCACCGTGTTTTCCGTTAGCATCTACTCAACATTTACAAATAGTTGCCAACAACGTCAGACTAATGTGTGGGAACAACCCATTCAGTACAATGTAGTCAAAGCATTATGTTGTACATAGTGCTTTTGAAATAAGAAACAGACTTTTGCTTGCAATGCTAAATTTTCCCTCTCTACAAAACAACACAGACCTTTTTCTACTATTTCAGAATCTTCCCACATCATCAGATATGATCTTTCATTTATCAGTTTTTTGGAAGCCCTACAAAAGTAAATGAGTCAATTTATTTATATGTCCTTCCATTGATATCAAGACATTTCTAAGGGAAAAGCCATAAATGTCTTAATAAAACTAAAAAACAACTGCAAGTAAACCAATGTCCTGATTAAAACCATGGTTGAGAATATAAATTGAAACCTTTGGGTATTGTTTGTGCGTTCGTCATATATTTCCATTTGCACTGACATTCATCGAGGTACCAAGATTTTTAAAGGATATGTTAAATGTTGAAGGAGTGGTGTACTTGTTTAATCAACACATTTGCAGTTGTCTCTGGTAGGAATAAATGCCATTGGAACTAAAAGTTACCCACATCACAGCTGAGCTTCAGACAGCGGTTTTGGAGTATTATTACCTGATATTTGGACATCTCGCCTCTGACTGGATGACATCAGCAACGCAACTCTACCACTGACTTGCAACAGGGATGTTTTATCTCCACCAATAACACAATACTGGAGGGGCTTCTGCTGTGTGGTGGTGCTACTGATGCTAACGGTTAGCTTCTACTAGCCGAGACCTCCCTGGATGTTAAAACAACAACAGCCTTCCCTATAGTGAGTCGAGATGTGTGAGTCCATGAATGTTAAGTGACAGTGTGACGTAGATCTGTCAGGATTTTCAAATCCTAGAGTTTCACCATCTGGTTTCTTTCAGAAGTTAATGCAGGAGATAGGTGTAGGACACTATTTTTATGTTCGTCCTGCATGAAATACACAGAGTGACTGATTATAAACAGAAATAATCATTAAAACATGTTTTATTTTTTGTGAACCACACCTTTAGTGAAGTATTTTACACTGTCTTTGCAGATGTTTACTTTTGTGCACTAAAGAGCTTGATCTCCTGTTATCTGGTTTTTCCGCTCCTAAACATCCATGTACAATTGACGTTGTTGTGGTACTTTATAATAAACTGTTTTATCCTTTTCCTTCGCCAGCTTTACTAAGTTCAGACTCATTTAGGGAATTTTGAAGAAAAAGAAACAGCTGAACTAATCTAGATCATACGGTGGGATAAGTGTGCCACCTGGCTGCTCGTTTTCTCTTTCTGTCGCTGTTTTTAAAATCCACTTCACTGCAGGAAACTAAACACCAAACTATGAACTTCTGCACACACAAAAAATGACCAAATTACGATGAAACGTTTGGTTTGTACAAAAGCGTAAGCCTGCTTGTTTTTTTTTTTTTGTTTTTTTTTTTAAGGAAATTATTTTTAAATATCTACAAAGAATAGTTCTGTGGCATTATCTTTCTAACAGGGCAGTTGACCAAACTGAAGCTACTACTTGATTTGTGAGGGGAGAGTAATCAGCAAAATAAGAATTCAATGCGCCCAGAAAAGAAAATCATGAGCTGTAGCTCTTCTAAGACATCCTATAAAAATTGTGCCTTCAATTTTCCAAGAATTGAGCAAACAGCAGTAACAAGAAGCTGCTTAAGGAGTTGTAGCTGCAACAGTTAAAGCAATAGTTGGGATTTTTGGGGTTCTGGGATAAAGTTATGAACACTTAATATCTGACCAGTTTGAGTAGGAGAGGTGAACGGACTCTAAAGCTTGTTTAACACCGAATGCGGTACGGGGGCGGTTGGATTTCCGTACCGCGTCCAGACGTCTCCAGATATCTGCTCCCACAAAAGCACCAAATGATGAGAAATTTGGAACTTTACATTTAAAAATATACTTGTAAAATGTGCCATACACTGTGAACTGATGTTGCTGGCATTAAAAATAAAACAAAAGCCAGCAAAAGTAAAGCAACACTGATTTTATTTTTTGATTTACCAGGTGTGCCAGATGTGTGTAATTTTTATTAAATTCATGACAATTTGCATGCGGCATCTGGACTAAATAGACTCCATGTCAAAATTTTCTGCATCCTGATCTGCTTTGCACCACATCCAGTGTGAAAGGGACTCAACGCTCTGCACACTTCTAAAAAGAAAAACATCAAACATTTAAAGCATTGCCTTTAAGTATTTCAAATTTTATTGTGTAATTAAAACAATTTAATAATAGTAATTAAGTAATGTTTCCTTTAGAAACAACAGCAATTCAGCAAGTTTTAAAATATGTTTTATTAACTATTTAGCTAAAAACATTTTTGATGTCCTGTTATCTACACCACAAAAAAGTGTGTAAGTATTTTTCTCAGCATCTGTCATATAAATACATTTGTGTGTTTTGGTTCTACATCTTGCAAAAGGTAAATTTATCACACACAGAAAAAAAATTCATTCAAAACAAGTTATTAGTAGGCTCTGCCTCAGCAGGTGGGCAGGGGTTCAAGCTTGCCGACAGGGTGGCACCGGCCCACCCTGAACACCCCCAAGAACCGCCCCTGGGTTTGAGAAAGCTCTTTGAACAGCCTTAGTTTGGAAAAGGATGTCTTCATTTTGACATGACTGATGCAGATCCCAGCGGGGCTAAAATCAAAGAGGAGTTCTGCCTCCTTAAAACACTCCAGCATCAAAGAAATGTCAGATTCTATTATGTGAAAATGGCTTTGCATCGATAATTAATGGGATCATTTATGAGACGAAACAATGAGAGCGATTTGGGATTGGAGGAGGAAGTCAGGCAGGCACACGTGTTTTCACCACATTACTGCATTAGTGCAGTGTATTCTTTACACATCCCACCCAGAATCAGGTCATTAGTGTTAAGGATAAGGAGGCTTGTCCCTCATCTCTTTCCTCTGTCTTGCCCGTCTCCATTGTGGCGTGAGTGCTGCGTGTTTAAGTGAACGAGGCCTCTGGATCTTGGCCGCCGTGCCCACTCAGCCATGTCCTCGCTCTGCGTCTCTTCTGGTGTTTCACTAAACATGCCTGATTAAGCAAAGTACATGCCCAGCCCTCTAATGTGCCCTTGAGAAGATTACTGCAGACACATCGGCCCTGAGAGGGGAGCTACTCGTTCAGCCAGCCTGTTATGACCCTACGCTTACCACCAACCGCACACACACACACACACACACACACACACACACACACACACACACACACACACACACACACACACACACACGTGGGCCATTTAACAAATTGGGAACGTAATTGAATTAAGGGGAGAGACAGAGCTTCGGGCTTGACACGGGCCAACTCAGACTGGTTTGAGGAAAGATTCAGTTCATCATGATTTTATCTCACCGACTGCACAATTTGATTACCTTAGTTCAACATTACAAGACAGCTAAAGAATTCTGGAGGAACCTCACAGAGGAGACTCTGTTTATCAAAAGCCATCCTCCTCCCTTGTCTCTACATACTTCATGGAATTCCCATAACTCCCTTTTTAACAGCCGCACTTTGTCTCGTTCCTTGAGGACTCTTTAATTGTTCGCAGACCATCAGTAGAGAAATGAAAGCCTGAATCATATTTTCATTTTCTTAAAGGTTTTTCTGGGTAATTAAATGGGTCAGAGACAGAAATCCAAGTAACACTTTACTGTGCAACAGTTTTTAAAAGACATTTTGAAACCCTCATGCAGAAAATTGTCTTTTTATGTCAACTAAAAAAGTAGCATGCATTCTTTCTTCATATTATGTCCTTTTCTACAAAACTCACCTTGTGTTTCTATTCCTCACATGGTGTCTGTGCTTGTCGAATGCACCACATCTCTGTGTGTTGTTTTTAACCACATGGCCCTGCAGTGCGTCCCCCTCCAAAGCAAATAACTGCCACTTCCCCCCACTTTACCTGCCTAATGCTTTAAAATAGAAGATTTAAAGGTGGCTGAGTCGTTTTGTATCTACCTACACTATTACTGCTCTCGTCTGAGCCAACGTGTGAAAGGGAGAAGCACAAAAATGAGATTTTAATCAAATTTAGCAATGTTTTGTAAAGTGTTTAGATGTATTTAGTCAGCACAGTGTTTTTCTGTCATTTTTTTTAACTATATCTTGTTTCTGTGGTAAATATTTAGTTAAAATTTATATTGGATATTACAGTGTATGAGTTAAAGTTTTGAGGATGATGATGATGATGATGATGATGATGATGATGATGATGATGGCAATGAAGTGGAAACTGATGACTATAGTGATAATGTTTATTATTATTTTTTTTTAATTATTATTGGTATTATTATTATTATTATTATTGGTATTATTATTATTATTATTATTATTAAGCAGTACTGTGAAAACCGAAGTGTTATGTCCTGTTTGGGTGCAGAAAAGTGTAAGAGAAGCTGGATTAACAGACAAAGACTGGAGTCTCCTGCTACTGCTACAGACCCTGCTGTCCTGTGCACCCCCCTTCATCATCCCAGGGGGGTCTCAAGGGGACGGCTGTCGTCAGACGACAACACGTGTCCTTTCTACGTGTACATAACCCAAATCCTTACATGTGATTTCAGTGCAGTAGCTGCATGACTACACAGCCTCTGTGTGTACAGAAGTAACGATGTGTGAATTTGTACAGTACAAGCAGGTGTGTGTGCTCGTGTCTGCAAAGAAATGTGTTTGTTGTCACACCAAAACACAACATGTGCATGCACCCTTCAACAACTGCACAGAAAGGCACACACACACACACACACACACACACACACACACACACACACACACACACTCCAGCAGTTGTTCACCATTCTCCACCACGTCCTGAGCTCTGCCTGTCACTCCTCATGGAGACTTTGCTCGGTGTTAACTTTCTTATTCTAATAAACCCCTCAGACGTTTCTTTTTCTAAGTCGTTATTGTTTACTCTGTCACTTCTGAGTTCCCTACAATTTGTTTTATTGGTAAGAGAGTGTGTTGATTAGAGACTTTTACAAAAGAAAGAAAAACACGTTTTAAGATGTTCATGCTAGTTTGCTCATTTTTGAGGCAGGTTTTTAGTTTTTGAAGTAATACATTTGAAAATTATTTAATCATTTACTTAAAGTCTTCTGTGGGGTTCTAACCTTTGTAAAATCCTCCGAGTTAGTTTTTTAAATATGTTTTTTTTAATTCTGCCTCCAGAGATGGATAAATTATTCAAAGGATTATTTTGTGTGTTTGTGTGCTAAAATCTAAGAAACCCTTAGGTTAATTTGGAGGATTGCAGTGTTTTTCCAATAACCATATTAAATAATTAAAAAATGTTGCTAAATAGCCAGTTAAACCATTTTTAATATATTTCTAAAAGGTTTCACTAAAATGAAAATAAAAACTCAGCTTCTTCTGAAAACACAGTTTTGTTATAATATTTAGCATTCAGATGTGTTCTTTTGAATAATTTCATTGCTTTAATGAGAATAGCGCAGGACTTTCATACATGGAGGAATAAACAGCTCCGCAGCATCTTTTCCCCCTTGGGCCAATTTACAATAAGGAAACAAAGAAAACCTCAGAAAACAAGTCCAATTTCAAATCAAATGGTAATGTAATCAGATTCAGTATGTTGCAGAGCCAATTATAAAAATAGTTCCTGTTTTGGGAAATCAGTAGATTAAATCAGTTCTTCACTGTAATGCAATCAAAGTGTGATGAGCAGCAGAGGAGAGGAAAAGAAACCTTCAGCAGATTCTGGATGGACCAAAACCATCTCAAACGTTTCAGAGTTTTAAAAGTTGTTGACTTCTTTGATGCCTGGAAATATTTAACTTCAGTTAAACTCTTGATTTTTTATAGAACAAATCTGATACTAAAGACATGATTTAAAGGCTTAAGAAAACAAAGTGTGTACAGTAAATTAAACAGCCATGGGGGAGCTATTGAATACATTTTTTCATACCTGTATTAGATAACAGATAAAGATTTGAAAAAGAAACCTAAAATATGATAAATGATAAATTTTAATAACCAATTTGTTGGATGAGAGAAAACATTCAGATATTTAGTCTGATTTACTTTGAACAACTCAGTTTAGGTCAAATGAGTTTTCTCCGTGGGGTGGCTGGGAGCTCGGACATTCGGGAGAGACTCGAAGTAGAGCCACTGC